GCTCTGTCCCAGTCCTTTTTTTGGACCTGGAAACATGATGTCACCAGCCAGAACTACTTTTGCCCCTGCCCCCCATAAATACCAACAGCCTTAGCCCACCATTTGGGGCTATACTGTGCAGGCATGCTGCATCAATGCTCACTGTACTCAGACTTGGAAGGTAGGCTGTTGCCCCTCTGAAGAACAGAAGCCATTGCTACCAGTACCCTCCCTCTGTCAGAGCTGCTTCTGGGGCCAGCATGACCCTCATCTTGCTCCCCACCCCACCCTTAGAGATGTCATTTATTTGGTGGCATATTTTGAGTGCTTTGTTTGCAGTTATTTTTTTATAAGCTGGTGTTTGAATATATTTTAATAAAGAAAGCACATATAGACAAGCTAGGAACAAGAGTCTAGTAGCACCTTAAAGCAGGGGTGTCAAACTCATTTGTTTTGCGGTTTATAATTTATTTATTTCATTTAGAAAGCCAATAGCATATAGATTTACACAGATTTCATATATACAAACTTCTTGTACAACATGTACTTTTCTTAACAACACAGAATAACAGATTCTTAAGATTTCATTTCATTTTGAACTCTTCCCTTTTTCCCCTTCATTCTTTCCATTTTGGACCAATATATCTTTCTAGGAAATATTACATTCCACAAACTCTTATCAGCGTTGTGTATCTTTCATAATTGTACAAATACCCTCTCATACCTCATAAACAGTTTTCTGCAATCCATATATGGGCTTTAATTTATAGTTTTATACATACTTTTTCCTCTCTTTTTTATTTTTTATATATAAATTTCTGTTTTCCCCACCTTTTCACCACTATGTTATTTCCTTAATTTTCTACTCGGATATACATTATTCTGGTTCCTTATAGAGTATCTTTTCGATTACACACAATCAAGGCTTCTCTAGCTTAGCTCACTCTACATCTAAAGTACCAGATTCTTTTAACACAAATAAATTTTGTAAACCAAACATCAACAAATCAAACATTATTACTAGAAAAGTTTTACCCTCAGCCAACAAATATCATCACCCCATCCATTCAAAACATCCTTTCACATGATTCCCCTATATCCACTAACACCAATACTTTTGTGTTCATAATTAAATACATTAAATCACTTTTCTCAATTTTTCTCATAATTATCACAGCCATTCAATTAATTCATTTTTGCCATATCCCAATATATTTACTCCACTGCTCTATCATTCCTCATCTACTACTAACATCCTCATCCACTACTATCATCCATTATATTAAAAAAAAAAGAAAAAAAAAGAAGAAAATACAATCACTGGTACAGTATTTTCATTGGGCAATAAATTTTAGTCAATTCCCTTTGATCTTATAATTATAGCTAAGCTTTTCCCTCATATAGCTTATTGTTTCTTTTAAACATTTGCAATCTACTTAACTGCCTCAACTTATCTCTATGCCTGCGCCCTTTAATCAAACTTTGCCTTCCATCTTTTCCCCCTTCAATCACTAGTCCCTCCATATCCCAAAATCTACTTTCCTTTTTAAATTTCCAAGCCCTCCGTTTTCTTCTTCTGGGTCTTCTTTTATTCTTCTTTTGTACGGGACTGAAATCTTGTCCATAGTCTTTTGATAATCCAGATTTGAAGTCACTGAGATATTCCACAGTACATATTGTGTCCCTTGGCAGGCTTTTAGAGTCTATACCTTCACTCAGCTTCTCTTTTTTTTTGCAATCGCTGCTCTTCAATTGCACCTCTTCTGGTTCTTTTAATTCTTTCTCTCCTGCACATTGATCGTGCGTTTCTGTCTGTGTCATAAATTCCTTTCTTATTTGAGCACATGCTTTTTTACAGCCTTCTTCGCAGCCTCTTGTCACCGCCTCCTCTATAGCTTTAAGGAACTGTTCCCAATCCATCTCAGCTGTTTCCGTCTCTTTATCACGTTCCTCTCCATTACCAATTATGTGCTCCGTATTCTCCATTTCGGAACAACAAAACCAGCACTTTTAAGTTCTAAATCCAAAATGTATGTCTCTTAAACGTGGGTCGCATAACTAAGCCCGTCCATAAACGCCAGCACATCTTTTCTCTCCCCCGTGCATTTCTCCGTCTGCCATTAAGTCCCGTTTAAGTTCCGGCCGCTTTACTTTACCTTTTTGGACATCGTTTTAAATTGGGGTCTCTTATCATTTCTTCAGCCTTCAGCCTTTCTGTCTCGGTCCTTCCTTTTCTTTCCTCCGTGTTGTAATTCTATTTTTCTTCGGTCTTGAAGTTAAAAACAAAGCGGATGGTCGCGTTTCGTAAAAACATGGCTGGTAGCCATGTTTTCCCTT